TTTTTTGAGTCAGAGTCTCACTCTGTTGCCCAGGCTGGAGTACAGTAGCATGCTCATGGCTACTGCAGTCTCAACTTATTGGGCTCAAGTGATCCCTCCACTTCAGCATTCCAAGTAGCTGGAACCACGGGTGTGCACCATCATGCCCGGCTAATTTTTCTTGATTTATTGTAGAGGAGAGGTCTCACCAAATTGCCCAGGCTGGTCTTGAACCCCTGGACTCAGGTAATCCTCTCACCTCGGCCTCCCAAAGTGCTGAGATTACAGGCTGAGCCACTGAGCCCGGCCTATATTTATATTTAAAAAGAAAAAGAAAAAGTCCTAGGGCAGAACTTGATTGGCTGGCTTTGGTCACATGCACAATCTTTGGGCCCATTGCAGGGGCTGGGGTGTGGGATACTGTGATTGGCTCAGCCAGAGTCACATGACTTCCTCCCTGGCCCAGAAGGAGGTGATGTCAGCAGAAGCCCTTAACCAGGGCCATGTGAGTAGGGTGGAGGGCATCCATCAAGAGATGTCAGTCTGCTGTAGAACAGGCCAGATTCTCCATTGGAGGTCTTGGACCCTGACTCGATCCCTTCTCCCCAACCTCTACTTATTTATTTATTTATTTTTGGCTGTGCAGGTCAACTTTAATACAGGCCGGACCCTCTGGGGGCTAAGGAGGCAGCTCTGCTTATGTCCTTGGTGGCCCCCAGGGCCTCTGCCCAGTTGCTTCTCACAGATGGGGGAATCCTCTCGAGGCTGTTAATGACAAATTCAGCCCCGTGCACGAGAAGTTATTCCACGCTCTGTGGCCTCCTGTCTTGGCTGCTGGCAGCTCCAGAGCTGGCCGGTTATGAGCATCCCAGGTCTCCACAGGTCCGTGAGCTGCAGGGACCCCCACAGGCAAACTTCAGGGGCTGCACATGCCAGGGCAGGGTCTCGCCACCACCTTCCAGATGTCCCCTCTCAGCAGGACCAAGCCACTGTGTACAGACCCTGGGTGGCAGGGTGAAGTCAGGGCTCCTGGAGTGTCATTCCCCCAGTCCCACATACCCAAACTTGGGACTGGAGCTTGGGGCGCTAAGGCAGAGGCACTGAGAGACTCAGCAAATGCCTGCCTCTTGGGGTTTCCATCCCCAACCTACATGGAAACTGAGGCATATAAGGAAGGCAGGCCACGGGAAGGACCCCTTAAAGGAAGTCACCACCAGCTACTGGGAACAGCAAGGACGTAAAAGGAAGCGTGGGGACCCTAAGGTCTGATGGCGCCTTCCCCACAGAAGCGTGGGCTGCACGGGGCTGGGGACAGCAGATAAAGAGTACCAGGAGCATCAGGTTGGGCCTGGGCCACGGCCTCCGCAGGAACTGCAACCAGTAGAGGCTGGGCTCGGCTGAGAGTTTGAATGCTGCCATTTAATCCAGAAATGAGAGCAAGACAGCAGTGCCAAGAGCAATCAGACTTTACACTGTGAGGGAGACACTGTCCTCCCGTTGTGCACGAGCCTGTGTGCACTGTGGCTCTGCACAGCACCGTCGTGCTGACCTCCAGGGAGCTCGGTCAGAGCTGGCCTCAACTCAAACTTTCTGTGGGCCGCAGTCCTTGAGGAATCCCCACGAGTCCCGCAAGAGAAGGTGAGTTACGAAGCTGCCACCAGGTCTGCTTGCCTGGGCCTAGCCTTGACAGGGACTTTTTCTGGGTTCTTCTCAGGTAGGGGCTCTGCAGGAGCCTCTGGCGGCTCTATTTGTTCCTGAGTGATTGCGCTCAGCTACTCCAGGGTGGCATCTTCGTCCTCCTGAGCGAAGCTTCCAGCCAGCAGCTCATCTATTTGCTGCTGGTACTCCACGGCCTCCTGGATCTCGTCCAGGATCGTCTCCGCTTCTTCTGTGGACATCACCTGGTGCATCTTATTCAGACACTCGTTTCCAATCTGCAGCCCTTCCATCACCTTCGTCTCAATCTGGGTGAATTCGATACTCTGAACCATGGTCTCCAGGCTGCTGATCTGGTTCTCTGTCTTGTCCAAGAACTGCTCCTGGTATCGCTTCTTCTTGAGCAGCAGCTTGGCCCGTTCCTTCCGGCCGTCCTGCAGCAGCTGCCGTGCCAGGGCCCGCTCCTGCTCCAGCTGCTGTGTGATGCACTTATGGTACTGCTTCAGCTTGCCACACTGCTGCTCCGGTTGCAGGATGGCCTTTTCTTGCTCCATGACCCGGCTCTGCTTCTTCCGGCCGAACAGGCTGTCCATGGCGGCGTCCGCCCGGCCGGACCCCAACCTCTACTTCTTAACTCTTCTGTGAGTAGAGAGAATCAAGAACTCTGTGTTTCCCTAAATCCTGAGCATGCTGTTGCTGTCCTGTGTATATGAGGAAGTTCTCACTTTCTTGTTAGGTGTTAGAGATGATGCAGCTTGCCAAAAACAAAGCACATGAGATCTGAGCTCATTTGGTGAGAACAGTCTTGCACTGCTGCAGAGCACACAAAGCAGAAAAAGGGCTGGAAGGACTGTGGTTCTCAGAAAGAACTGAAACCCTCCTGCCATATTGAAAATATACATTGGGTAGATATCAATTGTAGGTCCAGGAATACTGGCTGATGCCTGTCATCCCAGCACGTTGGGAGGCAAGAGGAACTCTTGAGCCTTGGAGTTCGAGACCAGCCTGGGTAACTTGGTGAGACCTCGTCTCTACAATAAATCAAAAAGTTAGCTGGGCATGGTGGTACATGCCTGTAGTTCCAATTACTTAGAAGGTTGAGGCAGAAGGATTACCTGAGCCCAGCAGGTCGAGGCTGCAGTGGCCATGAGAGTGCCACTATACTGCAGCCTGGGCAACAGAGTGAGACCCTGACTCAAAAAAAAAAAAAAAAAAAAATATGGCCGGGCATGGTGGCTCAGCCTGTAATCCCAGCACTCTGGGAGGCTGAAGTGAGAGGATTGCCTGAGCCTGGGGGTTCGAGACCAGCCTGGGCAACATGTTGAGACCTTGTCTCTACAGTAAATCACAAAAACTAGCTGGGTGTGGTGGTGTGCATCTGTAGTTCCAGGTACTTGAAAGGCTGAGGCGGAAGGATTGCTGGAGCCCAGCAGGTTGAGGCTGCCATGGCTGTAAGTGTACCTGGGTGACAAGAGTGAGACTCGAGCTCTCTCTCTCTCTATATATATATCTACACACACACACACAAACACACACACACACACACACACACACACACACACACACATATATCACCTGTAAACTGGAACTGGGTTTTTGACCCGTTGGTTTTAGCAAGCTTGAGCTTGATGTGGAAGTTTTCTTGTACGTACATCTGTGTGTGTTTATGAGGGGTTCTGGACTGTGGATGAGGGGTGACACTGGGATGCCTGGGGGAGTTTTGGACTTGTGAATGGGGTCACTGGGGGACCTTGGAGTATGACTGTGAGAGATTGTAGCAGAAGTAGGGTGACTTTGGGGATGACCGGGGGTGTCTGAAGTGTCTTGGATAACTTTGAGGGTGCAGTTTGGGGTGCTGGGAGCGATAATGAGGGTGTTAATGTTTGTTGTTGTGGGATATCTTTTAGGAATAGGGTGACTTTAGGGGTGTCTGTTGGCATAACTAGAAATGATTGAGATGGTTCTGTGAAGTGACCTTGAGGATGTGAATGGAGGTCTTGGAAGTCATCTGTGGGGTGACCTTGGAGTGTGTGGGGTGGATTATGAGAGTGTCTGAGAATGAACTTGAGGTAATGGGTGATTTGGGACATCTCTGAGGGAGTGAGTGGGATATCTTTGAGCTGACTTTAGGGGTGACTGGGTGACTGAGTAAGAGTGGAGTTACTCTGGGGTTTTTAGGAGATGACTTTGATGATGTGAGGGGTGATTTTTGAGGTGTTGCTCATGGGTGCTGGTGCAGATGACCTGGAGGGTGACCTTGGGAGTGTCTGGAGATGACTCCAGGGCATCTGTCCCCCTCCCCCAGTTCTCATCCATATGAGCGAGGGCTGCATGTTACTGGCCCTGGTCCTCTGCCTGGTCCTCCTCCCAGCCATGGGCTTGTCCTTCTGGTCCATCTTCTGCCACCTGAACAAGATCGACTTTATCTTCAGTACCCTCAGCATCAGCATCAGCATCAGTAGGGGGCCCCGGGGAGTGTATCTAGACTTTCTGACCTGCTCTTGCTGGGTCTCTGCCTGACTGTGTTTATTTCAGCTATGCGCTCTCTCTTTCTCGGTGTGTGTGGGGTCTCTCTTTCCCACTCTGTTTCCCTTTCTTTCTGTCCTCTCTCTGGATATTTTTCTTTCTTTCTCTCTCCCCTTCTCTCTCTCTCTTTCTCTTTCTTTCTTCTTTTTGTTTTTTGCATCAGAGTCTCACTCTGTTGCCAAGACTGGAGTGCAGTGGCATGCTCACAGCCACCACAGCCTCAACTTATTGGGCTCAGGCGATCCTTCTGCCTCAGCCTTCCAAGTAACTGGAACCACAGGCAGGCACCACCATGCCCAGCTAATTTTTAAAAAAATTTTTATTCAGAGTCTCACTCTGTGGCCCAGGCTGGAGAGCACTGGCATGCTCACAGTCACTGCAGCCTGGACTTGCTGAACTCAGGCGATCCATCCTCCTAAGCCTTCCAAGTAACTGGAACTACAGGCCCGTGCCATCATGCCCAGCTAATTTTTTTATTTATTGTAGAGATGAAGTCTTGCCATGTTGCCCAGGTTGGTCTCGAACCCGTGGACACAAGCAATCCTCTTGCCTCTGCCTCCTAAAGTGCTGGGATTACAGGCATGTACCACCATGCCCGACCCTCTCTGGGTATCTTTCTATCTGCCATGTGTGCTTGTGTGTGTGTGTGTGTGTGTGTGTGTGTGTGTGTGTGTGTT